TAATAACGATTATTCAATAAAAATCAAGAATAACAATTATAATAACAATTATAATAACGATTATTCAATAAAAATCAAGAATAACAATTATAATAACAATTATTCAATAAAAATCAAGAATAAAAATTATAATAACGATTATTCAATAAAAATCAAGAATAACAATTATAATAACAATTATAATAACGATTATTCAATAAAAATCAAGAATAACAATTATAATAACGATTATTCAATAAAAATCAAGAATAACAATTATAATAACGATTATTCAATAAAAATCAAGAATAACAATTATAATAACAATTATAATAACAATTATAATAACAATTATAATAACGATTATCAATAAAAATCAAGAATAACAATTATAATAACGATTATTCAATAAAAATCAAGAATAACAATTATAATAACAATTATAATAACGATTATTCAATAATAATCAAGAATAACAATTATAATAACGATTATTCAATAAAAATCAAGAATAACAATTATAATAACGATTATTCAATAAAAATCAAGAATAACAATTATAATAACAATTATAATAACGATTATTCAATAAAAATCAAGAATAACAATTATAATAACAATTATTCAATAAAAATCAAGAATAACAATTATAATAACGATTATTCAATAAAAATCAAGAATAACAATTATAATAACAATTATTCAATAAAAATCAAGAATAACAATTATAATAACGATTATTCAATAAAAATCAAGAATAACAATTATAATAACGATTATTCAATAAAAATCAAGAATAACAATTATAATAACGATTATTCAATAAAAATCAAGAATAACAATTATAATAACGATTATTCAATAAAAATCAAGAATAACAATTATAATAACAATTATAATAACGATTATTCAATAAAAATCAAGAATAACAATTATAATAACAATTATAATAACGATTATTCAATAAAAATCAAGAATAACAATTATAATAACAATTATTCAATAAAAATCAAGAATAACAATTATAATAACGATTATTCAATAAAAATCAAGAATAACAATTATAATAACGATTATTCAATAAAAATCAAGAATAACAATTATAATAACAATTATTCAATAAAAATCAAGAATAACAATTATAATAACGATTATTCAATAAAAATCAAGAATAACAATTATAATAACAATTATAATAACGATTATTCAATAAAAATCAAGAATAACAATTATAATAACAATTATTCAATAAAAATCAAGAATAACAATTATAATAACGATTATTCAATAAAAATCAAGAATAACAATTATAATAACAATTATAATAACGATTATTCAATAAAAATCAAGAATAACAATTATAATAACGATTATAATAACGATTATTCAATAAAAATCAAGAATAACAATTATAATAACGATTATTCAATAAAAATCAAGAATAACAATTATAATAACGATTATTCAATAAAAATCAAGAATAACAATTATAATAACAATTATAATAACAATTATAATAACGATTATTCAATAAAAATCAAGAATAACAATTATAATAACAATTATTCAATAAAAATCAAGAATAACAATTATAATAACGATTATTCAATAAAAATCAAGAATAACAATTATAATAACAATTATAATAACGATTATTCAATAAAAATCAAGAATAACAATTATAATAACAATTATTTAATAAAAATCAAGAATAACAATTATAATAACGATTATTCAATAAAAATCAAGAATAACAATTATAATAACAATTATAATAACGATTATTCAATAAAAATCAAGAATAACAATTATAATAACGATTATTCAATAAAAATCAAGAATAACAATTATAATAATAACAATTATAATAACGATTATTCAATAAAAATCAAGAATAACAATTATAATAACAATTATAATAACGATTATTCAATAAAAATCATGAATAACAATTATAATAACAATTATTCAATAAAAATCAAGAATAACGATTATTCAATAAAAATCAAGAATAACAATTATAATAACAATTATAATAACGATTATTCAATAAAAATCAAGAATAACAATTATAATAACGATTATTCAATAAAAATCAAGAATAACAATTATAATAACAATTATAATAACGATTATTCAATAAAAATCAAGAATAACAATTATAATAACGATTATTCAATAAAAATCAAGAATAACAATTATAATAACGATTATTCAATAAAAATCAAGAATAACAATTATAATAACGATTATTCAATAAAAATCAAGAATAACAATTATAATAACAATTATAATAACGATTTTTCAATAAAAATCAAGAATAACAATTATAATAACAATTATAATAACGATTATTCAATAAAAATCAAGAATAACAATTATAATAACGATTATTCAATAAAAATCAAGAATAACAATTATAATAACGATTATTCAATAAAAATCAAGAATAACAATTATAATAACGATTATTCAATAAAAATCAAGAATAACAATTATAATAACGATTATTCAATAAAAATCAAGAATAACAATTATAATAACAATTATAATAACGATTATTCAATAAAAATCAAGAATAACAATTATAATAACAATTATAATAACGATTATTCAATAAAAATCAAGAATAACAATTATAATAACGATTATTCAATAAAAATCAAGAATAACAATTATAATAACGATTATTCAATAAAAATCAAGAATAACAATTATAATAACGATTATTCAATAAAAATCAAGAATAACAATTATAATAACGATTATTCAATAAAAATCAAGAATAACAATTATAATAACAATTATTCAATAAAAATCAAGAATAACAATTATAATAACGATTATTCAATAAAAATCAAGAATAACAATTATAATAACAATTATAATAACGATTATTCAATAAAAATCAAGAATAACAATTATAATAACGATTATTCAATAAAAATCAAGAATAACAATTATAATAACGATTATTCAATAAAAATCAAGAATAACAATTATAATAACAATTATTCAAAAAAATCAAGAATAACAGTTATAATAACAATTATTCAATCAAAATCAAGAATAACAATTATAATAACGATTATTCAATAAAAATCAAGAATAACAATTATAATAACAATTATAAAAACAATTATTATATAAAAATCAAGAATAATAGTTATAATAACAATTATTCAAAAAAATCAAGAATAACAATTATAATAACAATTATTCAATAAAAATCAAAAATAGCAATTATTCAATAAAAATCAAGAATAATAATTATAATAACAATTATTCAATAAAAATCAAAAATAATAATTATTCAATAAAAATCAAGATACTTAAAATGAGTGTAGGCGTACATACATATATTAGATTTGTGATGAAAATGGAGGTGTGTAACGTCCAGAGGGATAAAGTATATATATTCTTGATCAGCATCAATAGCCGAGTCGATTGAACCCCGTCTGTCTGTCCGTCCCTATAAGCGCCTAGGGCTCAAAGATTATAAGAGCTAGAGCAACGACATTTTGTATCCAGACTTCTGTAATATGTCACTATTACACATACATTTCAAAATTTCGCCCCACAGGAGGCGGAAGGGACCTCCACAAAGGACGAAAATATGTGGCATCCACAATATTGAAGATTCCAGAAAACTAAAAACGCGCAATCATAGAGAATGACCAGATTGCCATCAGATTGCTGAATCTGGTTCTGATTGGATCATTTTTATAGCCAAAAGGAACAAATCAATTTGCAGTGGCTACGCTGCGCCCGACGACATGTTCATACTGATTTTCTGTCTCTCTCGCACGAACTCTTTGTCGTGCCGTTTAATATTAGCGCCGTCTGCCGGAGAAGAGCCATATTGACTAAGTATCGGGTATAAATGTAGAGTTGCGGTGTCCGCAGCAACTCACAACGTTCCCCCTCGTTAATACTTGAAATGCTGTTCAAAATTGGTATTTGAAATATAAAAACTAGTTTAAGTTCTATAAAAGATTTATAAATGTTCTAAAAATTATTTTAATTCAAAGTTTTGTACAAAAATCCTAGATTTTTCTCCTCTAATTTTTCTTATTTTAGCCAATATAAATTTTAAAATTAAATTTCTTAAAATTCAAATAGTTGTCTGATTTTTAATATATATTTTAGTGCATACTGCTCTCGAATTTGAATTTGACTTTGAATATTATGAAGTAACCGGCTTTTTCCGATGCACTTGCCCCGGCTTTCAGTGGCTGCTCTCTCTGAAACCGCTCTCTCTCTCGCTCTCTCTCTCTCTCTCTCTATCGCTCTCCCACTGGGCCTGAGCTCTGCGCAGGCTTCGAATCGTAGTAATTTCGAAAATTCGGCAGCTAATACTCCGCGCACTATAATAATTTGTAAAAATACTATGAAAAATTGTTACCAAAAATAAGAGAAAATATTTTTAAACTACAAGGATTTTTTTTTTAATTTTAAGAATTATTTAATCCTGTTACCGACATTTATAGTTTTAAAATTTAAAATTGGCTGAAGCTCAAGCCGCTCTTATGGCCAAAAGCATAGCCAACCCTCAATAAAACGTTACACACTCTCTCTCTCTCTCTCTCGCTTAACTGCCGCTCTCTCAGCCGCTATGCCGACTGCCCTTCGGCTCTGCCCACCGGTCGTTGCGCTCTCTCTCTCTCTCTCTAGCTGTCCTCTGCTGTGTGCTCTTTGGGGGGTGTTGCCGCCCCCCCGCCAAATGTTTGGTTTGTACTTTCGTGCTCTGTGCATTGTCCTTGCTGCCACGAAAACGCAGCGTCGACGCTGGCATCGGCATCGGCGTCAGCATGGGACGTGGGTCGTGGGTCGTGGGACGTGCGTTGGCGCCGTCGTCTCTCATCGCTCGTTGGGCCGTCGGTCCTTCAGTCGTCAGTCGCTCGGTCCCGCAGTCCCGCTGTCCCGCAGTCCGACGCAGTCGTCTGTCAGTCGTTCGCCTGCTGTTGAAAAATTAACATCGGCATAATTCAGTTTGTCTCTGTCGCTCGTAGTGCTCGTAACAGTCGTCGTTCCGTCGCTTGTTTCTGGAAGGGTTTCCCCGAATCTGAGAGAACGACATATTCAAAGGCCCCACACGCGTGTAGTCCCGTAGGAACAGCAGTAGCAGAAAGGGAAATGCCCGTATAAATCATTTAAATAATTCAATGCAGCGGAAATTCAATTGAAACAAAAAACCGTAGCATACTCTCAGGCGGCAATCGAAAGAAAATTCCCCCAAGATTGAAAATCAAAAAGAAATTTAAACACACAAGAAAAGCAGCAAGTGGTTGCCTCTTAAAATTGAACAAAAACAAATCAAATAAAAGTAGTTACAGTTTTGTGCCACAAAAGAGAAGGAGAGCCCCAAGGAAAACCAAAGGAAACTCAAATACAATCCACACATATCCGAGCAATCTTTCAAGCCAGAAAACAAATACAAATTCAAAATGCTGATTGGATTAGTACGCGATTCGGTGATGCAGTGCTTCTGCCACACCTGCCGGGCACCGGGCATTCTGCCAGCGGGTAAGACGAAACACCACACACACACACACGCTCCCTATATGGAGGGTCCTGTAAAACCTCGGTAACAGTTTGATTTGTGTACGATTTATGGGGTTTTTTGATTGGAGACTAGAAAAAAACTTTGATTTGAAGGCATACCTTTAAATCTCTGCTGTTTTAAGGAACTTGGATAGTGTCTGCTCCCGTCTAAAGGATCTTGGAGGTGGTCTGAATACCCTGAAAGAGGCTTACGGCTCTTACTTATGGAACAGATTTTCCGAAAGATCTTCTTATGTTTTCAGCATTTTCTTTTTCATATATTTTCCATGGCTTTAAATACGTTATTTCTTACCCTTTAAGCGTCAATTATTTCCACATATTTCTGGGAAATAGTTCTCCTATAACCGGAGGCTCTCTGGCTTTTGAAGGTCAACCAATTTGTTGTTTTTGTTGTTGTTGTTTGTTGGGTGAAAGTTCAGGGTGATTCCTATGCTTCTTTTGGATGCTAGCATCTCACATCCCATAGCCCCATAGCCCCATAGCCCCTACCCCAAATGTTGACTCTTTTTTTTTTTTTGTTAACTGCTTTCGTATGCCAAAGTTGTTTTGGCCATGTCCTTGTACAAAAGTTAAGTTGTCTTCTCTCTTTTTTCCCCCCCTGGAGGGTTTTCTGTGTGTGTCTCTCTTTTGTTTGTTGTTGTTTTTTGGTGTCTATTTATTGTAGAGGGATTGTTGGTTTTTCCTGCATTTTTTGTGGAATTTTGTTCCCTTATTTTTCGACCACTTCAGGGTCCTGTTTGAGGGCGAGTTTTGAGAAGCCAATAAGGTTCAATAAAAGTTTTCGATTGCTAGAAAAATATATGCACAAGGAAAAGACAGCCAAAGGAAGTGACTTGGGTGCCAACTTTAAAGGAACTTTACAGGTCGAAACCCCATAAAAGTTCACGAAATTTCATCTAATTCGATATTTATTGATATCCCAGAAAATCGTTAATCCCAGCAAAGCCATTCAGGATAAATTATGTAATGTAATAATAAGCGAAAGAAGGATCCAAAGAACTGCTCAATTATACAGGAAAAATCAATTTCCCATCTACAAAAAAATTAGGTATAAAAGAAAATCTACAAAAAGTCAAAGAAAAACTAAAACGCCAAAAGGCAGAACCCCCCCCCACCGAAAACTTTAATTTTCTTGTGTTTTTTTTTCTATGGTAGTAAAAACATCGCATGGGGCGCCAGTCAGCCGCCGGCGGCCAACAAAATGAGTCACCACTCGATGGAGGAGAGTCGCCTCCACGCCAGAGCACTCCTCTCTCCCTCTCTCCCTCTCTCTCTCTCTGTGTGTCTTTATAGGCATGGAATTTAATTTCAGCCGCACACAAAGATACACCGAAGGTCCTTGCGTTCACAGGTCCTTTGTGTAATGCATATGAATGTCTTTATTACACACTCGAATGACATTCGTTCTGCCACGACGACTAGTCGCAGTTATGCCTTGATTTTTATATCCTATTTATATGGGGGCATAGGTGGAGGGGTGGGGGGCATATGTGTGATTGAGGGGGCTATTAAAACACAATAATAATCGCCGCAAACACACACACAAACACACACACACAGGCACACACACACATACACACAGACACGTGTAAAATGATTGCGCAATATGCACACGGACGAGCGAGCAGCGCCAAGTGCAGAGCAGAGCAGAGCCCAGGCCGGAATGACGACAAAAGGACGGCATTTATTGATTTATTGACAGAGCTCTGCCGGTTCTTACATAAAAAAAAACACACACAGTAGGAGAAAAACAACAATGAAAAAAAAAGACAAGAGTAAAAAGCAATGACGACTGACGACGACGACGACGACATGCGAAAAGGGAGGGCGGCGAGAGGGAGAGAGAGGGAGAGTGCCTATTCCGCTGGGGGGTGCCTGGGACATTGCATATTTACTGGCGTGGGGAGGGGGGGGAGGGGGGCAGGTCGATTACAAATCACCTTTAAGAGACAACCTGTGCCGTGCCACCAACGTTTATTCTGTGTTCTGCGATTGGTTCTTCAATTTGAGGAATTTCTAAGGATAAGCAGCAGTTTTTACAGAAAGATAAATGCCGAATGTGGAACATATCATACCAAAAAGTAATCTAATCTACTTTCCAGGGTACTGTGGACAGTCTTTCCACCCAAATATTACAGTTTCCCATGTAAACCCCTCTTTAAAACAGGTCCATCTGTCCATCTGTCCATCTGGCCTGCCAAAAAGATGGATAGGCCCTGCCATATTGTAATTTCAATCAACTAATGGACAAGTGTCGAATGACATTAATCAAATGGCACTTGCAACATGTGCTAAATATGTAATCTGCATGTCTTTGCTGGTGTCCTTAATTTGAAAGTAAGGTTTCGGGCACCACACCATGCCCCCCCCTCGCCTCCACCCCCTTTGCCTCATCAGCCAAGGCTGACGATGGCAGGGCACGATTTTAATTTAGCCTGGGCCTTGCGATGCCTCTAATTGTCAGCGCTTTGGGGCACACATATACCACATGCCACGCCCCCTCCCCCCACCACCCCCCATGTCCCTGCCCATACGAGTATCTTCCCCTTGTGGCGCAACGTTTCTAGCCCTTTTGGCTTTTTCGCTTCGGCAAATTAGATTTCCTTGCTGCGAAATTGCAATTCAAAATGCTTTTTGGCTGCTGCTGTTTTCCAGGAGGGATGGAAGGAGCAACGGAAATCGTGCGATGTGCTAAAAGGAAATTGTGGGTGGTGGGGGGCGGCGGGGGGTGGCAGGGACCCCCAGTTTTACATTTATGCTCGAGTTCGATTGGAAATTTGCCAAAAAAAAGAAAATTATACGTTCGAGTGCATTTCAAACGCAGGAGGGTGGAGGGGGGAGGGGGGAGGAGCAGGTCGGGCCAGCAAACAATTAATGTATTGTTCTTTTGTGGGATATAAAATATAGTTTTTAGAGCTGAAAGTACATGGAAAATGCGAATATTCCAGCCTTGAATGCAGTATCTTTCGCATCGCATCGAATCGAATCGTCTTTCACTTCCATAAAATCCCTTTTTATTACCCACAAAACCCACAATAATGTCGCCTCCAATCTGTTGGGCCTGCTTCATTGGATCCCTTTGCTAATCTAACGAGCAATTAGATAAATTACAAACACTTGGCATGCAAAAGCCGCCAAAAATTACATTAATAACATTCAAGGCGAAGACGATGCTCCCCGCAGTAGAGAACTCCTTGAGTCAAGGACTCTATGTGGGCTCTCCTGATGCTGCTGCCTCCAGCATAAATCAATTAAGATAAATTGCAAGACACAGAGCAGAGGGCGGAGAGTGTGGCAGAGTGGGGGGCAGAGACAAATCAACTCTCAAACTGACATCAGTGGGAATTTAATGTGATGTATCTGGCAGATACACAACGCTGCCACAATGGCTCTCGGCAGCTCTTGTGGCCTGTGGATCAGACGACATATTAGTATGATGAATTAGTGGGTTTGACTGTGGGAGAAGCCCCTCCCCCTACCCCCCGCACCACCCACTAAGCTGTAGAACATGTCTAGGTACTAATGGCACTCGTACAGCGATGGGCAACAGACGGTCTTTCGACTGAAAGATACCCACTAATTAGAGTTTTTGCTGGGGTTACAGCTTTTCCATCTGATTTTCTGTAAAATATATATTTAATTCTCAGAGATTTTCAAGTCTAAAATGTGGAAATTGAAAGAACAATTTAGTTTTCTCTTCAAATTACTATAAAAGACCGTCAAAAACCCCGAATACCTCCTTCCCAATGCTTTACCTTCTTGGTATTCTTAAAGAATGTGTCCTTTTATTTAGGGGAAATTTATACTCCCATCTTTCGACGAATGTGCCCCAGTGGATCGGGGATGCCTCCCCCTGCTGTTACCCCCTCAAATAAAAATACTTTTGCCTTCTCGCATTAAGTATGCGTGTGTCTCATTAACCAAAATGTCCTTCGAGTCCTTGACGACTGAATGTGGCCGACATTTGGGCGCCAGTGCCGGTATTTTTCTGCACGCCAACATTTCGTGTGTGGGGGCGGGACGAGGGACGAGCGACGAGGGTCGGGGGTAGTCTCCTGCTTCTATCTTGTTGGAATATTTATTAGATTTAGTAAACGTTTGACGCTAGACGGCCATGGGATCGATTGAACCAAAAAACAAGGCATAGACTGTGAAATTAATTAAAGAAATTACTTGTAGTTTTTTTTATTTATTTTTTTACAGCAAAAGAAAATTGTTCGACTGTTATATAACATTTGCGTGACTCCATTTTCCTTAGATTTGGCGTTGAAAATGGATGAAAAACAGTGGAAGGAAAAACGGAATCTTTTTCGTGGTTTTGGGGAATGGGCGAATGGGAGAATGTGGCATGTGGCATGTGGAAAGTTGCCTCATTAGCAGCTGCCAGAGGATTTCCTGTCGATGTGATATGAAACCTAAGTGACTTTTGCGGAAGTCAAGGATGTGTGTAGGGGAAATATTTCAAAGGTTTTTCAATGCTTGAATAGCAGCCAGAAGCACAGTTTTTCCTGCCTTTACGGCATAAAATTGTACAATAGAATCCACATAGTAATAATTATCCCAAACGATGCTCAAATGCTTCATTCAATTACAAGAATAGCGGAAAAGGGGTAGACACAGGAGTTGGCGCTTGGAAAGGATCTTTTTCGGCTTAAAATCCTTGGAAAAATACCCACCACACCCCCCCCATACCACACTCGTAAATAAAACTCAAATGTTTATGAATACAGCTGCCAGCCATAAACAAATACTTTTTTCTGTCCTATCCTGTCCTGTCCTGTCCTGTGCTGTCCCTTCTTTTTTTTGTGTGTGTGAAGCGCCTGTCAAATTTGACAAACACTCGTCGGGATCTGTTTTACGGCCGAGCTCCATCCATGTCCTGTGGCAGGCGAACTTCTACGAAACCCTGTTTTCATTTCCTGCCGCGCGGCCAACACCTTTTTGTGGCGGGGCTTGGCGGTGAGGGGAGGGGAGGGGGCGTCCTCGGTGTTCCAACAAACTGACTGTCGAAAGTCATTAATAATGCCACCGACTCTTTCGAGTGTCGTCTCTTGTGTGTAATTTTCACTCGTTTAAAAGCACATGAAACATTGAGAGGAACCGATAGAGGGGCAAAAAAAGATAGAGAGAGAAGAAAGAGAGAGAGAGAGAATTTAGAGGAACAAATTAAATCTGTGTGATGGCCTTAGGCTGAAAAGCACAAAGGAAATTCGCAGAGGAGTCTGTCAAAGGCAGGAAATTCTCTTTTACGGAGCTCCTAACTTTCTGCATTTAGTTGTTCTTTAAACATAGATGTAGGAAAAACTTTGATCCAACTTCATTGGAAAGTCTTCTAGGAATTCCTACATTTGGGAACACTTGAGGTTCGATATTCCTCTGTACTTGCCTCCTTAGTTCAGCCCTAATTCGAATTAGTGTAATTTCCACACTCGTTACAATGATTTCCTTAAGCCTTGAGCACATTTCATGCTTCAGGCCACCGCATCCGTCCTCACGTATCCCATCTAACATTCGTCGTAATCAAATTTTCTTTAGTTTCTTGCGGGAAAACTTTTTAACTTTATTTGGTGAAATGTATCTCTGCCACAGCTGCAGACGGAGGTCTCCTCTTGGTGGGGCAGTACGTTGAAATATTTGGGCCACTCTGTCACGTAGCGGGCACATTTTTCCATATTATCCTTCCAGTAGGCTCCAGCTTCAGCTCCAGCTTCCTTTTGTTTCGCCCTCTTTCGCATGTGCCTCACGTAACAGACGCATACATAACATTACTTAATTTTCATTTCTTTTGTTGGTTTTCCTCGGCTCTCCGAAAAATTAATGAAGTTGCATATTTCGGTGACTTTTCCCTCATTGTCATGCCAGGGGGCATGCCACATGCTCTCTTCGGCCAGCAAATTGGCCCGCCAACACTGGAACTGCATATCCATTGCGACATTCAGCATTTTAACATTTAAATATGTGGACAGTTCCGCCGATAAAAGTGAAGGGTCCTTGCATGGAAATTCTGTGGGTATATGTCATCATCCGTCACTGCTTCGACGACAGTCTCCTGCGCCAGCGACTTCTCTCTGGAGGAGCTCCTTCGTCCTGCGGCGAGTCCATAAAATTGTTGACTCAACGTTGGCAAAAGATGGATGCATCGGGATATTCCCGCATGACTTTTGTTCATCCTTTATCCCCATTTTCTCTTCATTTTTATGCGATATTCGTACTTTTGAGGAATATCTTGGGGGAATGCAGTGGGGTTTAAGGAACTTCAGTAACAGCTGAAGGTTGCATTGCTTAAATTCAGTTGAGAATTGATTGAGATCTGGTACTGTTTATGAGGAATTTAAAGCACTCCTTAAAGGGGAATTTCCGCAGGAGCACCCCGAGAATATTTTAGCATATATTTAGCAAGGAAAGAGCACCAGCAAAATGGTAATTCTACTCCCTATTTTTGCACTATTTAAAAGAAATCTGAGTCTGCAAATCTGACACAAAAATAAACTAAAGTGGAATATTTTTAGAGGTATTTGTTTTTGTGTGCTGATTGTGGGAAAAGCTCTCCAGAAACTTAAATTTATGACTAACCAAATTTTGGATAGCATAAAACGAACCGCGTGCTGCACGCAGAGAGCGACTGTCTGTCGTCTGGAAGAGCGACAGATATGACATATGCACGGGGCATATGCTGCCACCTGCCACCCGTCCCCCCCTCTCCTGCTCCTCTGCGGCCTTGCGGGGAGGGGGAGGGGGGGATAACCTCCAGCCCTTGGCAGGGCTTTCACACAACCGAAAATTCCTCGTCCGAGCACAGATGGGATGGCGGCTGGGATCTGGCGCTCATCTACGTGCCTCTATTTCGCTGTCTGCCTCACTTAATGCAATTTTCTTCAACTTCAGTGAGTGCCTGTACTCTGGTGGCAGAGGGGGGGAAGCCTCCACTGGAGGCTCTCCTTTTAGTGGGGGTGTTTTTCCCGCCCATTCTTTCCTATTTTGTGTCTGCTTTTTGTGCTCCTTTGTTTGTGGCGTAAATTGCATTTGCACTATTTTTTTTCTTTCTTTCTCTTTTCCTTTTTTGCTGCTTTTTCGAGGACCCTGTGCTTATGCCGCTGCCCCACCCCAGCCCACCCTTCATGTCAAACGTCAACTGTTTGCTCTTCTCCTCCCCCGTCTGGGCCCTTGAGAGAGAGACTCTCTCGTGGGGGCGCTGCTGTTAAATAATTCATGCATGCATTCCACTCCCATTACACGTCTAAGCCTCTCATCCTAGTTGCAACCCATCTGGCAACAATCAAACACTTCAACAATGACACTGACATTCGCATATTGCGCCGCCGCCGCCGTTGCCGCTCGTTTGTATCCTTTCCTTGCCACAGGAGGCGCCGTCATGGGGTCGTGTGGAGGATGCCACTGCTGCGGCGATGATAAATGGATGTCTTTAGGATTCCTTGATCCCCAGAATGCAAGCTGCTGAAGACACATCGACGACAATTTTCGACAGTTTTCCCACCTTTCCGACACACCCCCCCTCCCACGCCCGAAAACCGTGATTTCTCGTGGGATAAATAATGATTTCGGAATTAGCTCAAGACCAAATCCGCTGAATGTAGTCAAGACAGAAAGATACCAAAAGTATATTAGAAATTTTCCTGGAAGATATACCAGAAATATACCAAGAATATACTATAAATATACCGAAAATATGCCAGATATATACCAGAAATATGCCTGAAATATACTAGAAATATATAGAATTGAAGAGTTTTAAAAAGATACCAGAACTATACCAAAAAAAATACTAAATATATACTAGAAATTCATATGAAGCCCTTAAAAAATTCATTAGAAATGTTCTCGAAAAATAGCAGAAATATACCGAAAATATACTAGAAAGTTCAAAATTTCCTCATAAATTTACTCCTCTCCATCGTTCCAATATCTCTGACGCAATAATCATTCTCTGGAATGTCATTTTCTTGCCATTTTCTTTCCCTTAAAGAACGATATTGGCCACGCCCTCCTGCCTATATCTTGGGACGGTGGGCAGTGGGGGCGTGGGGTGCTCTGCTGCACGCTCTGCTGCGCATCCAATTATAAAATTATGCTTAATCTAGCAGAAAATGTCCTGTGTGTCGTCTTTGGACTTGCGGCAGAAAACTTGAGGGGAAAAAGGTCACAGGTCGCAAGGCAATATATATCACTTGGTCGCCCGAAAGTATGCCATAATCACAAATTACTCCTCTGTTTATCAGTTGCCGCTGCTGCTGCTGCTGCTCTCCAGTTAACTGTATATTTTGGCCATCTTAATGAGCCACAGCCACAGACGTAGGAAGCGGTAACGGAAACGGATAGAAGCTGAGGCACATCTCTCTATCTTGGGGCATAAAAATTAAATTTTAACTCCCAATTAAATGGAAGGAAAGTTCTCCCAAACTCCTAATGAAAGGCTGGGAGTTTCCGAAATTTCTAATGAGAGCAAAGAACTTTGCTTAAACTCCAAATGAAAGGCAGGGGATCTGAAACTGAAAAAACTTTGATAAGCTGTTATTAAATTTTCAAAACAGGGAAAGAAACGAGACCGACACGAAACATGGTCGAAACAGCGTCAAAACAGCGTCGAAAACGCGTCGAAACAGCGTCGAAAACGCGTCAAAACAGCGTCGCAACAGAGGGAGTGCCATGCCACACACCACTCCTTGGACTTGTGTCAACATTTTGGCTTGTCTCCTGCCTCTCCTTCTTTGACTTCTTCTTTCACTTAATTGCCACAAATTGTGGCAGAAATTTTGTTCTGCCCACACAAAAGCCAAGCCACTTCGTCCATGCATTTAACATAAAAGTTTATTTGCATAAAACACATTTTGCCCAGTCTTTCCCTGAGTGGAGCCCTGAAACGTGTTTCGATAAAAATTCAATGTTATTGTCTGAACAATTTTTGGCTCAGCCTTGGTCCTTGCGTCCTGTTGACTGTTGCCTGTTTGCCTGTTGGCCGGCAACAAAAGTGTGACACAAATAAACAGAGGCCCAAGTTAAAAAGGGCGGCGGCGGGAAAGGGTAAGAGCAACAATGGCCATGGCTAAAAGCAGGCCCAGGGACGCTTCACCAGCTGTTGAAATGCTGCCATTCCACCAGAAGGGATTCTCCATCCAATCTGTGGTCGAAGGACCACTCCTGCCGGCCTCTCAATCCCTCTCATCTGGCGTTTTTCGAATATGCAAATTTGTGCGGCATCTTTAAGAACACATTTTCCCTTCTTTCTGGTTTGAAATCGATATTCAGCAAATCTTAACTTGTGGAAGATATATTTACTCGACTTTTGGCAAAGATACACATCGAAATATCTTCAGGCAGCCGATATATTTGACTTCAATTAAGTGCGAAATAAAGTCGTATTTTTTTTCTTCAATTAGTCAAATGAAAACTTTAAGCTGCTGAAAATGTTTACTAAGCTGAAAGATTTTCCGCCTTTACCTTGGGGGATTCTGTGGCTGTTGTTTTTGCTTTGTAACTATGTAAAATTGAATGTCGGAAATGTATCTCTCTAAATGGCAGCCTCATTGGAAATGTATCTTCAAACAGGAGTTTCACAGGAGGGTAGATTGAATTGCAATTTATTTTAGTTTTTCGTTTAGTTTTTTTTTACAAATTGAATTAAGTTTTACATCTATTAGAGGTGTATTTTCTCAGGTCAAATCAAACTGTTACCAAAAGGTTTTCTCCACTATTTTTATACACCAAATGTTGTTCTAATGAGCGAATACTTTTCTCCATAATATTTTTAAACACATGCTTTACCAAATGGCGGATATATCGATGTCTATAAATCAATAGTATCGCGAAGATCGGCGCCCATTAAGAAAAATAATAAAGTGCGCTCCAAGCAGCCGCGTCTCAACAAGAAAGTCAAATTTATAAGTAAGTAAAATGACAAAACAATACAAAATATGCTTAAAAATAAATCAAAATATAATTCCCATAATATGTAAGTCCCATGTGTTCCACAAATAAACCCTAAACCTGGTTTATTTTTATTTCCATGCCCAAAAAAAGCCCGCCTCCATCTTTGGGGAACCACAATTTAATGAGATTTCCATCCAAAAATAGGCAAAGCCTTCACCCGAGGAGGAGCCTGTCAGAGGACCTTTCTTTCCTCGCCTTCATTCTCGCCTCTAATTGTTTGATGGACAAAGTTGCGACGCTCGCTCCTGATCATCGGAACTAATGGACATTGAAACTGTCTGATGGGCACTACGTGCCTTCGTTACGGGCGGGAGACTTCCCAGAAATTGTAGTATTAGTTTGACAATGTAGTACGGCAAAAGGAAAGCCGAAAACGCGACAACAACGACAGGGCTCTGCCCCAGGGAGAACATCCAGGAACAACCACGGGAACACAATATAAAGCCTGTCGAGGGGCGTCCCTGTGTCGGTCAGGTGTAGACCGAGAGCCGAGGGGCCTAAGTGAGTCATTCCACCCAGAAAAACACGCCTTCTTCTTGCGTTGCCTCCCTCCGGCCCCCCAGACTTTTCCTTGGCTTTCGTGGCTGTTTGTTCCTGGCGTTTCTCTCGCTTTTGTTGGCTTTTTGTGAGGTAATAAAATGTCAGAATCGTCTGGACGGCGCCATGGAAATGAAGTAGAATCCTGGCCAATCCCCCCACCCCCCTCCTTGGGGGCGTATACGTGTTATTTTGTACGTTGACTCTCTCTCTCTCTCTGTCCACGTGAAAGCGTATTAAATTAATTCGTTATTTGTTATTGTTGCAACATTTTAAATACTTTGCGAATGTGTCTCGCCCTCTGTGGTTTTTGTGGGATAAGCTCTATGTCCTGTAGAAACATTTTTTTCGCTCGGTGTTTACTGGAGAATATATGCAGGTGCCCGGCAGTTAATTTTCATCTGGTTTTTGGGGACCAGAATCCGCTTCATATTTATTATTCGCTTGGTCTGGCGGTTGGGCTTGTAATTAGGGCTGCCAGATGTTGTGGGGATCCTGTGATGATTCCAGTGCCAGAGAGGAGGATAATAATGCTGGCTTACGCGAGGGATAATAGAGTGGAGGAATAACAATGAGAGTCTGTATCAGATATCAGTGTGTGGCCAGAGGATACCCAAAGGAAGGTGTCCCCTGCATTGTTTTAGGGGAATTTCTGAAGGTAATTATACTGAGATTGTTGATGGAATTATCATATATTTCTGCAAGGAGCTTAAACTGTTTTCTTCTCTTCAAAAGTGCATTTCCATGTTGAATTTTCAAGCTATTCCTGAGACCATTAGTGACCTTTTATTCTACTCGAATACCCTCTTCCTCAATCAGTGCCAAACCGAAAGAAAGAAAACCCTTCAACTGTTGCCAGATTTTCGCATTCACATTCATTATGGCCATCTGCCAATTTTAGCACTTTTCTCCCACTCTTTCTCCCCTTTCTCTCCACCTTTTTTTGCCAGTCTTTTCCACCCTTCCATCTCTCAGTGTCTTTTGTCCCTTGCTGCCATATTTTCCGGCAAGTTCATTAATTTTCTATATGTATCTTCTTCGCCTTTGGCTAATGGCAAGAAAACGGCAAAAACTTCCTCGCGCAAAAGTCATTAAAGTGCGAAAAACTTGTGGAACAGGGGTCGGGTGTCGGAGGGGGGGATACATGTGGAGGTCGGTGTGAAGTTGGGGGTGTGAAAGGAATGGGAGTGTAACAGATTTCTCTTAACTAGTTTTGTTGGTCAAACTCTTGAGTGAGGTTAGAAATGAATTGGAAGGGTGGAAGATTGGATAGTTTTCAAATGAATAAAACATGAATGCATTCATTAGGGGTAGATATACGCTGTATCTGTACGATACGAGGAGGAGTATCAGTAATTTCAATGAAAAACTAACAAAAGAAAAGGCAGACAATAAATTCCCCTTTCTAAATCAAAAAATGTTTAACTAATGAAAAATCGCATTCCGGTAATTCCTCCGCTAATCCCTCGACAATTATCCAGCATTATACAATCATGCAATATTTAACAAAATTTTCCATCCCTAATTAACACACGAAACAGAGACAGACAGAGGGACAGACAGAGGGACAGACAGAGGGACAGACAGAGGGACAGACAGTAGAACAGATGGAAAGACCCTTCATCTACTACAAACAATTAATTTTTCTATAATTAAAATGAAAAACCTGTGTAAATAGCAAACAGAATTTTCTGAAATGCAATATTTATTTTACATCCAGCGTTGCACTAATTAAAAGCTAATTAAGTTAGCGACGCAATCATAATAAAGCCGCCCCAAAATATTAGCCCTGGAAAATGCGGAAAACGCGTGTGTGAATCGGAATGTGAATGTGGCAAAAAAACAACTGATAATGCAATATATGTACGTGTCGTACAAATAATATTTCCACTCATAAATATTACGCATTTTTTTTACATTTTTATCGCAATCTGCTGTAAAATCAATAAACAAGACTCAATTTGCAATTAAAAATTAATGTTGATGGAAATCGAAGAGGAAATGGAAATGCAAAAAATACTCCCTCATAGGTAGAGGCCCTATGTCCTTCAAAAGGAGGGTATTATGATTTTGGGGAGAAGTTTTTGAAAGATCTCTCATGCAGGGCTGATATTTCCTTATATTTTAAAGCTTTCGCCCCTACCTGGGTATCGTCCCAGAACTAAAAGGCAAGTCCCCTGTGAACTCGTTTCGCTCGTGGGCCTCCAACCCCCGGCTCACTTGCCCTGCCTTGGTTGCCCTAAGGGAAAATCAATCCACCATCGCTTGCTTAAGGCTGTCGTATATCTATCTATCTCACTCTTGCTTTTTTCTGCCTTAGTCGAGAATTATCCAACCTTTTGAATTGATCCCAGTGCAAGCAAACCTTTTGCCTAGCATTGTTTTTGTGTAGGCGTTTGTTGTTGCTATTTACTCATCTGCTTTGGTTCATCGCTCTTCGGTGCTCACCGCTCTCCCACATCATCCGTTGCATCGTACTCTCTGGAAAGCACAAGCGGGCCGCAGACGATCAAAGCGCATCCAGTAGTGCTGAGCTTAAAAGCTGAGCTTCATCAAAAGCGTGCTAATAGCAAAAGTAGCTGAAGAGAGAATGGGAGAGACAATCGAGAAGAGTTGGATGGAAAAGGAGAGGCAGGTAGGAAGAGTAGGAGAGAACGCTCTCGCTTGTGCCGCTGCCGCATTCATTTTTTCAAGCGGTCCAAGCGCCTATGCTTAAGCCTCCGCTCGGTCTTGCTCGTGCTCGCACTCTCATTGGACTTCGCCCGATCTCTTCGTTTTTTTGTTGTCTATGCTCTCGGTGTCTCGGTGCTTATTAATACAGCAGCAACATTTGTGCTTAGCAAGCCATCGGCTTTCGCTATTCCTTCGCTTATCTTTCTTGTATTCCAATGTAAACAAACAAACACGCGGCGTGTGATCGGGATCTGCTTTCGGGGCAAGGGAGTGTATCCATCGACAATGGTAGAGGCACTCCTCTAATAGCTCCTCACACTCCTCCCCCCCCTATCGATTTATGTTTATATTTATTTCTCAATATTTGTGCAAAAAGCCAGGAAGTGGGATCAGAACTGCTCGGCATTCAGGAGTCTCTGTGTTCAAGGATCTGCGTATGAATGCAGTTGACAATTCAATTATATGCACAGTTTTTTAATTAACACATTTTATTTGCTTTAATTAAATTCCACTCTTTTTGCCCCACCTCTCCCCTTTTTGCACGGAGAATCGCAATTAAAACAGAAAGCAACACAATTAAAAGCAAGAGGAGAGAGTGAGAAGGAAGATGTATATGCAGAGTGAGAGAGAAGTGCGAAAGTGTTAAAGCAAACAAACAGAAATGGCCGCCGACTGGCGACACTTCCTTCAATGAGTGGAAAAAAGAGGAGAAACATTTTCCTCAATGAGTGGAAAAAAGAAGAAAAAAAAAACAGTTCCTTCAATGAAAGGAAAAACGAAATAAAAACAATTCTCGCACTTAAAATTAAAACTTTTTTTTAAAAAATACCCTCCAAACGGGGCGGGGGGGAGACATTTCTGTTGTGACTGTAAATAAGGAAAATCCCCAAAGGAAAAGCCAGCAAATGCAGATTTATTCATATTTATGGACGAATATTTACCCCTTTGATCCTCAGGCTGTTGCTGGAATTCTGTTTTATATTTGTATATTCATGAAACCCTTGCAAAAAATATGGTTTTCAATATAAAAATCAAACAATTTTTGAAGGTCCAGAAGGTCTGCAAACTATTACAAATGGCTCTCCCCGTTGGTTTTCTTTTCCACCATTTCCTTCTAAAGAGTGCCTGTATTCCCTGAAAGCCGTGTACCCTGTTCCCCCTCCCCCCTTTCGCTGTTTGTTGTTTTCTGGTTTTTAGCAAAATGGCCAAAAGCTCAAGAGTAAAAATGGCAAAACAGGCAAAAGCGGATATTGTGAAATATTGTTTATGATGACAAATTGCCGCGGGAGAGAGAGAGAGAAAATAGTTTGTTGTTTGTGGCAATCATGGTGGGAGGAGGGGGGGTGGATTTGTAGGGCGGAGAAAACATTAATCTTTATTGCAGTCTGGCGGAAGGCCAAAAGCCAATGCTTTGCAATAATGGCTAATAAACTGGGGACTACAGAAATATATCATAGAAGAAACAGTGAAAGAGAAATATCCTCTACGAAGAGCGATTACCATTCTTTAGGGGGAAAAAAGGATCGTCCAGGACCTTATTTATTCGTCATTGAAACATCTGTTTAATAAAAGCCTAAACTTGAGTGAATAATCCCTTGATGAAAGATGCATCTCTTGTTTCATAATCCTCTCAGAGTAAAACCCATTTGAAGACTCATTTGCATGATCTCTGAGAAGCTCTATTTCCTCTGTTTCCCTGCTGGCCAAAACAGAGAACATCTCCATTTGGAAGACCTTTAATTCCT